CATTATCATCATTTTCTCTCCTGTTCCATTTTATTCCTGCTATGAGAAAAACTATCCAGTATTTTCCTTTTCTTCCTGGCTTATTTCACTAAGCATGATCTTCTCCAGCTCCATCCATGTTGCTGCAAAAGGCATGTGTTTATTTTTTTTGGTTGCTGAGTAATATTCCATTGTGTAGATGTACCACATCTTTTTAATCCAGTCATCTACTTTTGGGCATTTGGGCTGTTTCCATGTCTTTCAATTGTGAATAAAGCAGCAATAAACATGGGGGTGCAGGTGCCTTTTAAATCAGTGTTTTTGTGCCTTTTGGGTAGATACCTAGGAGTGGGATTGTAGGGAAGCTCCATGTTTAGCAGTTTCAGGAACCTCCAAACAGTTTGAGGAAAGGGACTTCTTAATCCAGGTGCCCAGGACTCAGTCACTTTGTCCCCGCTGCACAGGCAGGCACCACTGTGGGTGCTGTTGACTCAAACTGAAGCCCCCTGTTGTTCCAGGGACTTAGGGTTGCTTAACAAAACAACAGAGTAGAGGGCAGGTTGGAGAGCTGCTTCAGGGCATGGCTTCAAGGCATTCCCCATGCCCTTCCCCAGCCCCAGGCTACCAACCTCCTGGACAGTCTCAGTTCCACGGAAGGGGGCGAAAGCGTCATTCTCCGGAGATGCGAGACACCTGTGGCTGGACAGACACTCGGGACATTTCTGTTGGTTTTCTTCCAGTGAAGGATGACCAGGAGGCTGTGCTCTGTTTCTACAAAACCGCCAAGGACTGTGTCATGCTGTTCACCTATGCAGAGCTCCCCAGTGGGAAGTCCGACCTGAGGGTCCTCAGGGAGCCAGGTAGGTGGGGACCAGGGCACCTGCTTCCTGGGGGGCTCGGTTTCTGCACTGTTCCCGTCTCTGTAGCGCCCTTCTCTTCTCACTGTCCTTTCTAAGCTCCAGGGAGGAGGAAGGTACCATTCCTTGCAAACATCAGGATCCCAGGTCACCTCCACTGACTGCTAGCGTTTACAAAAAGATGGTTGTGCATCTGGGACCCTGGGGTGGAGCCCCGGGAGACACAGGCTTTGTGCCCTGGGTGGGAAGAGAGGCCGGGCCTGCCTCTCCTGTGGATGAGGAGCACAGGCTGGGAGCAGGTGAGGAGCCGCTGAGCACTGTGGGGTGCTTGCAGGGCGGATCTGGGCAGTCCAGGCTGGGCAGCCAGTGCTTACGTCAGGGATCATCCGGGTCCACACACCGCCCACCGGCTACTGCACTTCCCGGGGTGGAGTCCAAGAAGGACAGATGGAGCTCTGGCTAAGCATTCCTCCACGCTGCCCTGCTCCGCTCCCTGGCCACTGAGGAGGTCAGGCTGTAGTCCAGACACGACAGCCTCGCCTCCTGCTTTTGGCTCAGGGACCAGTGGCCTTTTTCCTTAGAGCAGTTAGGGTTTCCAGAGTGCCCCCTTTCATTCTTCTCCGAGAGGGAGCAGAGGAAATTTGCTCTGTCCAGTTTGCAACATTGCAAACTGTTTTTCCAGTTAGGGCCAGACCGCATAATGTCTGTCCTTGGCCAGAGGCAGAGGGAAGTGTGTGATACTGGCCCAGGATGCATGCCCATAAGAATGAAGCTTTGTTTCCAACTGTTGTCTTTGTGGGTCTTTGGAAATGAGCACGTTTGCTCCGCACCAGGGCTTATGAAGGTCGGCAGGCATCCAGCCCAGGCGCGGGGACGCAGCTCCACACAACCTCCCGCCTGCTCCAGCATCCTGCCCGGAGAGGGGGCCGGGTTGGGACGTGCGCACCCGGGCCGGGGCATGTGGTGGCCACCACACTTCTCTCCTGGCCTGTGCCTCACATTTGCCGTGTGTATGGCCTGGGGATGGTCACCGTCCCTTTTAGAATCGTCACCTTTTCCCAGGAGTAATGTGAGGAGAGAGAATAGAGGGGGGGAGACTTGGGAGAGAAGTATACCTGAGGCCGGGGGTGGGAAGGCACAGGGCACAGGGACACTGGCCACTTTGCTCACGGTGCCTCCTTCCCCCTGCCCCCACCCCAGAGTGCGGAACTGCCCCCAACGCCATGACCATCCTCCTGGCTGTGGTCGGCAGTATCCTCTTGGTTGGGATTGCACTCCTGGCGATCTGGAAGCTGCTCGTCACCATCCACGACCGGAGAGAGTTTGCAAAGTTTCAGAGTGAGCGATCCAGGGCGCGCTATGAAATGGTAAGCCTGTGGAAGTGGAAGTCAAAAAAAAGGTGCAGCTTGGAAGTCTGAAAGAGTACGGAAGCGACAAAGACCAGTTGACATCTTTGGTGTTGAAAAACAAACAGAGCCCAAAAGGCAGTGTGTGCCCACACCCGCCCTTGGGAGCGTGGCCCGGGGAGCATCTGGCAGGGTGACGGCGGGCCGGTGGGGCACACAGCCCTGGCACAGAGCTGGCAGTGGGTCTGCCTGCCATGGCCCTGGGGCGGGTTTCAGGTTTATAGTCTTACAGCACCTGCATGTGAGGTCAGCGCCCCTGCCCTCTGTTGCTCCTGAAAGACCGAGCACAGGGTGAGCCACTGATGAATCCCCACAGTCAGCATTTGTTAGTTTTAAGTTGGAAGCTGCCTCAGAGACCATCTGACCCGGCCCTGATTTGAGAGATGAAGACAAGGGCTGGGAGGCGGGAGGGGCCTTGCTGGGTGCGCGGGAGAGGCTGGCCCTGCACCGCACCTGCTGCTGCCCTGGGTGAGGACCGAAGGAGGGCTCCGACCCTGAGTGTGAGGGGGAGTGAGTGCCCTAACGTGTCCTCTCATGTTCTGCAGGCTTCGAACCCTCTGTACAGAGAACCCATCTCCACACACACCCTGGATTTCACCTTCAACAAGTTCAACAAATCCTACAATGGCACAGTGGACTGATGCCCTTCTCCACAGGGCCGGAGGTGAATGGGAAAGTCAGAGACTGACACGCCTGCACGGCTGCTCCAATGTACATGGCTCCCTAGGTGGATGGGCACAGAGACTCCGGGGCGCCAGGGCAAGGGGCGCGTGGGCTGCACCGACAGCCCCGGCCACGGCCCCTGACTGCTGTGGCAGGGCCCTGCTCCCACCGGGAAGGGCGAGGGGCCTTGTGCTCCGGGCTCTCCCCACGCCCCCAGCTTGTCTTCGCAATGAACTGCTGAGATCAGGGTATTGGGGTCTCAGACTGCCCCTGTCCAGTCTGGCCAGAGGAAAAGGCTCTTGGGGGTGTCAGATTGTAAAAAATCAACGCACAGTCTGACTTTCTTCGTGTGGATCATTTTTATATGAAATAAAAAGATCGTGCATTTATGTATAGCTCCGATGACGGAGCACTGTCTGCCTGCTGACTATGCCTTGCAGCTGGGTGTGGGTGACGGGATCTAGAAAGGCACTTCTTTACAAATGTTCGTGTTTCTCCTCCTCGTCCATGTCTGTTTAGTGGTTTTGTAATGAAAAGGAAAGAATTTGGGCTTGAAAGTAAAACTTCAACACGAAAGGTTTGCGTTCGCCTGACATCTGTGGCACGTGCTCCTGTCTGCAGAGGTGAGAAGGGCGTCCCGGAAAGGGCTGAGTGGCTGCGTGCCTCCTGCGCCCGGCACAGGCCAGCCCAGGGCTCCAGAGCAGGCCTGGGCGCCTCAGACAGCTCCGTAGGTGCTCCAGGAGGGCAGTCGGGGAGGCCAGGCCCGGTGCTTTTAGTTTTGCTGAAACAGAGTTCTTCTTTTTTAAATAATATAATAGTTTCTTTTTACATCATTTGTGCCTTTTTCCATCTCAGTTGTAACCCCCGTGGGCTTCCCATCACCAGATCAGCCGTGTGCCATCACCATCGTCCAGTGCACTTACCCCTTACCCATTTTTGATCCCATTTCCCACTCCACTCCCCCGTCAAATGTCTCTGGTGTATAGTTTGTTCATTATTATTACTATTTTCTCCTCTGGTCCTTTATGCTCCTGCTATGAGTGAAACCATCCAGTATTTTTCCTTTTCTTTCTGGCTTATTTCACTAAGCATGATCTTTTCCAGCTCCAATCATGTGAAACATAGTTCTTGACCAGAAAATGTGAAAACCTCTCTTCTTACCTCTGTTGCTGAGGCTGAAAATGGATCATGCGAGTGAAGGCGAATCAAAATCACTCCTGTGTGTCATTATCTATACAGTTCTCTTCCAGTGCCTTTTCCTGTCAAACTCCTATGCCCCAACCTGGCCCAAAGCACAAAACCCACTTCAGCACTCTTTCCCCCTGCAGATTCCTGAAGTGTGCTTAGGTTCCCATATCTGAGCTAGAAAGAACACTACAAGTTTTCTGACCCTCCCTCCGACCTACAGAAGGTGAAGCTGATTGCCAGGGAGGGCAAGTGGCTTGTCCAGATGTGTGGGGGCTAATGTCAGGCTGATGCCAAGGCCCCAGTCTCACAACCGGCCTCCTAAAACCTGCTGTAAAATCTGTTTCACTAATCACTTTTTACTATTGGCATCTCTTCAAAGTTATTGAACTTTCATTCAAAACTCAGCAGTTCTCAGTCTTGGACCAAACTTTTGAAATTTGTTCCTTTCAACAATGAGACAAATGCCAATGAGTTAAGTAGGGTCTGTTGTGGGGGAGGGGAGAGCGCTCGACTGACTATTCCTGTTAGTAGGATGAAACACATCTTGAGAGTGGATGAAGCCAACTTAAATCCATTCAGCAGCAGAGTCAAATGTAGATACATGCATAAAACAGATAATGGCTTAGGGACGTTCTGATGTGAGAAGATTTAGATTTGGGAGGAAACTTTGGGTTTCTCCTGTTTGATTGTATCTGCTGGAGACAGACGATTGACTTGTTCCACGCCTCATTTTGTCAGGCAGCTCCCGGGCGCTGGCTGTTCTGGAGCCTCTGACAGGGCTCACTGAGAGGAAGGGCCATTTCACCCAGACACCAGAAGGCTGCTAACCACGCCAGCCGCTCACAGGCCTCTGCCTCCCCCTGCTGGAGGCTCCTGGGACACCTTGTTAGGAGACCGGGCTCCTGGCGGCCTGACCCCGTGCGAGATTCCCTGATTTCCAGCCTACCCTGCAGATCCAGAGGTGAGGTAGCCTCGCCCCCACCCCTACCCTGCAGATGATGGCGCTAAAGGTGGGCCGCCGGCCGCAAGGAGCACCTGCCGGGCTTTAGAATGATTATCTGGTGTTCCTTTGCAAAGGTAACTAGCAGTGTTCTTGCCTGTTGGAAATAAGAGCAGCGCTTCACCTTTGTCATCAGTCTGTGTTGATTTAAAGCAGATCTCCAGATCGTACTTACATTTTTGTTCATTTTGAGATTTTTTTTCCTGATGGCAAAAGTTATACATGGGAAAGGAGGACAATAAAGAAATGATTTTTTTTTTTAAAGTAAGCCTTTTCTAATCATACTGTGACAGGGCACCCCAGTGTGAAATGGGTTGCCTGTCTGTGGGCCCTCACCCGCGCACATAAAGTTCAATCGCATTACGGACACACACAAAAAGGTTCAATAATGGATTTATATACAAGGAGAAAGGTAAAGGAACAGCCCAGGGAAAGGGGGAGAGAAATACAAGTTAAATAGAATGTCCTACCTCAGGCATTTCTGTGCATGACTTGTTTTTTCTTTTTTCTACCTGCTTCTGCTTTTAACCAAATTAGGGGTATACAATCACTTTTAAAAGGACCTGGGCATTCTCATTTGGTTGGTTACTAGTGAAACTGTAATCAACAGTTTCTGGTGGCTCCCAGAAGGACTTTTTAAAATGTGTTTAATTAGAATCACAGGTTATCCTGTAACGTGGGATGCATTTCAGGTAAGAGCAAACACCTGTGGCGACGAGCCAGGGGTGGGGCCGGCTTTTAGCGACGCAGCCCCGCCCACCCGCTGGAGGCTTCCGCAGGCCTGCGGCACCTGCCCGCCTGCTCCTGGGCCAGCCCCGTCACTCCGCGACCAGCAGCGCCTAGGCTCTAGCTGAGGGACCCGGGAGAGGGTGACAGCAGCATGGACAACTCTCAGGAGGAGGTAAGTGCGGCCTGAGGTGCTAAGGAAGCCTGTGTGGACAGGGCAGCTCCAGCCGGCCTGGGCTGGGCGTTTCCCAGCGATAAGGCTTTTTGACCCATCTTATTTGCGTCTGCAGGCAGGGGATTTCGTTATGTATCTCCTCTCCTGTCTTCTCATCTCCACTGCTTAGGGGCCTCTGATTTGAGTCGGGACACGGCACACCTTCAGCTCCTTGGGTGAAAATGTGCAGCAAGGAGGGGAGAAGGAGAGGCAGCTAGCCTGCAGTGCTGGTGCTGGGACAGGGGAGCTGCGTCTGGAGAGACCCCCCACCCCCACCCCTCTGGGAGCTTCTCTGGCGAGGCCACTCCTTATCCTCCCCTACACAAACACAGCACTGCCTCTTCCAGGGCCAGGTGAGTGTCCTCGTGAGAAGTGCTTCATATCCAATTTATTTTTCTTGGAGTGCAATGGCAGGCAGTTCTGATGCTTCATTTTTTCATACAGTGGGGCTTGTATTATCTGCCTGTTTTGTTATTTTGGTGCCAGGAAGCTGGGGATTAAATGCAACAAAATGTCACCTATGCCTGTTTACGGAGCCTTCACTGCCACTGCAAACCCCATAGTGCCCTGCCACACATGCACACACCTGATGATTCTTCTCACATAATCTCTTCATTGTAAGCAGCCTGAAATCCTTGTTGCTAAAAGGTAAAAATCTAAACTGCAAGAAACCAATAAGGTCGTGAGGGCCAATGGCCTTCGAGGGGCCTAACCTTTTTATAAGGTATCCTGTTGGCACTCTGGTGAACTTACAAGCCCCTTGTCAGAATAGTGCTCATAAATGTGTAAAAAGTCTAGATCTGTTTATCAGGGCAAGTGGCTACCATCTTAGCTTCCTTTCAGAAATGCGGGTGGACTCACCCCTTAGCCAATTAGCGCTTCATTGGTGCAGCCTGCGGACCCTGGAGACCAAAGCGACCTCTTATTTGTTGCTCTCAGGAGCCCCGCGTGTTTTTCTGACAAGGTATCCTCCTGTTTTTACAAAGGAGGAAACTGAGGTCAGTCACAGCTGGATCACAGCTGGAGTGGGGTTTAGCAAGTGAGGCCCACGCTGGGAACCCCTTCTCAACTCTGCCGCAATTTCTTCTGTAGCTCACCCTCTATGGAAGTATTTCATTTTTTTTTTCTCACCCCAGAACTTTATGGCCTGACTAGCGAGTTTCTGCCTTGAAGGCAAACACCTCTGCTGAGGTAAGTGAAGTGCCTCTAGTAGATTCATCTAGTGCAGACCAATCAGTTACAAATGGCCCCTCCCCTGCCCCCTTGGGTCTTTTTCTCTTGTCCCCATCACAGGCGCCATCTTCAGTACATGCGTACTAACTGAAAATTCAGGTAGTGTGCCGAACTGTTCTGTTTAAAAAATAAGGGAAACTAATAACATAGAGTTCACCCCTTTCCATGGAGGTGATGCCTAGTTGGCCTCTCTGCTGGTTGGTGCTTTGTTTCTCTACCAATTCATCTGGCCCTGCTGTGATGGGAGAATTGTTTTTCAGTTTTGTAAAGACCGAATTGATGTAATTGATATAAACTCAGTCACTTAAAATGAGTTTAAATAAGCAGCGTAGTGGTTTGACTTATATTCTGAAGTGATTGTACAGTAAATTCAGTTAGCATCCATCACCTTAGACGCCATAAAAAGAGGGGGGGGGGAATTCCCCTAATGATGAGCAGCTGATATCTTTCGTACATGTCACACAGCCTCTTATATCCCTAGATCTCAGTGATTTTATAATTGAAAGTTTGTACCTTTTAATCACTTTCCTCCAATTCTCTCTCCTCCCACCTCCACCTCTGGTGACTCTGAATCTGACCTTCTCTATGAGAGTTGGGTTTTTTTCTTTAGATCCCACACATAGATCATGCAGGGCTTGTCTTTGGCTTGTTTCCCTTAGCATAGTGCATAATTGTTACAAACAGCAGGATTTCCTCATTACATATGGTTGTTACTGAGCAAATGGTCTCGCGCCCTGATGTGTGACGGATTATGACACCAGGGTTCTAGAGAAATCGGCTTTGTGAGTCTGCTGGCAAGAAGAAAGAAAGTAAACTCAAATCTTCCTGCCCGGCTAAAGGGAAGGAGGTTATATACTTTTTGGGAGGCCTGGGATTGAAAACAAAAGTTTTTTCTTTTTCTTTTTTTTTTTTTTTTTTTTTAGATTTATTTATTTGTGCATACAGAACTGGGGTACAGGCCAGAGGCTCAGGGGCGGCGAGAGGCTTCACCAGAGACAGAGTGGGGAGCAGAACAGGCAGATCGACGAAGTACACTGCTGAGGGGAGCAGCGGGCGGGCCAGGAGAGGTCTGCCACGCCATGTGGTCACCTCCGGGGCAGGCAGGAATCGAACTCATGCGGAAGCGGCTTTAGCTTCTCAGTGCTGTGCTTTAACCCGCTGCGCCACCAGGGAGGGCC